GGATGAAAGTCAGTCTAATGATGGCTCTTCTCAGGGAGACGGATATTACGGGACAGTGAGAGAAAACCCAGTGAAAACGCTGTAGGAAGTATTTTAACTACTGCAGGGGAAAGGAATCTACTCTTTGGAACTGTTGGGAAAGGACTGCAAATAAACATTTGTTGCTCGGTCATAGGAAAAATGTGTAAAATAACGTGAAAGGCCACCAAACACCCGGAAGAAAGTAACGCTAAGAATTTCTCAAGGGATGAGAATAACTGGAATGTTTTTCTTTTCTTTTAAAAAAAGAAGGGAACAGAATTTATGAGCCATTTGGAAGGAGAAAAGAATATTATCTTTCAGCAGAATTCAACCGTGGGGGTGAGGGGTGTCACCCAGTGAAAATAAATCACAGGCTTGAGGATAGGACAAAAACAAAGCAATCGAAGCATCGTGAACAAAAGGAATTTCTCCACCAGAATGTGTGCTGAGGCCCACAAGCTTCAGTTAATTTTTAAGAATTAGGACATATTTGCAGAAGTGGCGAAATGAAGAGGTCCACCATTTCACGGATGGGAATTGCACTTCTGCTCGTAAAGCACCTGGTTCAGCCACTGGTAGGAGAAAATGGTCTGGATTGACTGATTCAAGTAACAAAGTGCCAAATTTGCATCTTTATCCCTTCAATTGGTAGGCATTTTCGGAAGGGCCACCAAAAAACAGGGCATCCCCTACACACTGGGGCATCTTGTGTAATCCAAACTTGCTCTTCGATTTCTAAGCAGCTTTGGTTAAAAGCCATTCCATCTTCTATTTGTAGGGGTGTAGTTGCTGCACCCTAATTTCAAGTTTTACGGTTGCCTAGTGGGAAACAGGCAAGGAGGAAGGAACGAGGCACCCACAGTGCTGAGAGCAGATTGCAATATAGGGGACAATGGGAAGAGAAGAGGAAGGAGAAAAATAACAACGGGGCAAGCTTAGTCAGGATTTTAGGAATACGACAGCGGAATCCACTGTTCTTGGGCAAGACTTCCCTGAATCTGACTGCAACGAAGCACACAAGTCAGTAGGAACAAAACTCATTTGGGAACTAATATTCCGGGAAACTCTGAAATGGCCAAGGTTAGTAGTGCCTAGAAGTAAATCCTTTGTGTGAAGCAAAGTGAGATGTCCTGGACATGGCATGTCGGTTTGGCTCTCTGGGACACTCTGAACCACTCTCGTTTTGGAAGATTGCAGAACCATGTTTATAGCAAGGTAACGTTCCTAATTGGCATGGTTTGCCCCGGTCTATGGTGGTCTCTCTCTCAATTTCATCTCTCCCCACCAAGCAGCCTGGTCCGTTCCTCGGCTGCTACGGCTTAAGAGCTGCAGATACCGGCAGGTTTCCTCCGAAGACCCACCCAGCCTCAGGCAGGTCCCCCCGTCTCACCAGCAGCGACACACCAATGCGCCATCCCCCTCCTCCTCCTCCTCCTCCAAGCCACTCATGAAAAAAACACTCTCACCTCGAGACTCAATACGCGGAGTATCGCAACCTGTCCGCGCCTGCATCCCGCCCGAAACGCTGGACATCGTAGAGAGAGGCTCGCGAGACGGGAGACAGCTGAACGCGCTCGTATCCGTACACGTCTCCAGCGGTGGAAGCCGCAGCGGCCGAGCGACGCAGAGGGCTTCTATCCCGGGTGTAAAAGGAGGACGTCGCGGCCATAGCAGCGACGGCTACCGCGGCTGCAGTTCCTGAGGTTGGCAGCAGGGGCCTCTCGTAGGGGTCTAAGGTGGTAGAGAGGCGACTGGCCATGGCTGTGGCTTGCGAGTACTGGGCGTACTGGGAATACTGGGCCATGGTGTGCTCCGCATAAGTGTCGTATGCAGAGGCCCCATAGGCCGCAGCATTTCTCGCGCGATACCGTTTATAGTAATCCACCATTCCATAGGGGTCATCGTAATACATGGGATCCCCGTAGCCTGTAGGGTACGGGGTGCGCACCATTCCGTATTGCTCGCTATAAGGTTCGGTCAACTCAGCCACTTGCCCCGTGCGGTCTACTGGGCACTCTTTAGACCAGTGACCCTCCTTCCCACACCGGTAGCAGCCACTCTTGTATCCCATCCCGGGCGCGGTCCTGAGACGGCTGGTGGACAACTGCACGCGCATTCGTTTGCCTTGAAGAAACAGACGCAAGAAGGGCAGCTATAAAGATTTGTTAAAGACAATTCAAAGCAAAAGCACAGCAGCTCAGTTATTTTTATATAAATAAAAAAAAAAACCAGGAAATCATCCACTGACTCAGTGGGTCAAAGAGGGAAGCCAACAGCTGTTTGAGGACCCAATGCCTCTTCTGGTCCGGAGTGACCAGCGAGTTATACTCACGAAATGAACCGTTTTGACAGCGAGAAACCGATTCTACCCACTTTTAAGGTATGTTTCACTCGTCTCTCTAATTTGATGCTGGCCACTAAGCCCTGAAAATATTTTGGTAGGCCCACAAAGCAAATGAGTGAATTGCAAATCAAAACCTGTTGGCCAGAATGTGATTTACTTCCGAGACACCCGTGGGGGTCATGCAGCTTCCTGTGTTTTCTAGGAACTCTGAAACAATCAGAGTTGCTGAATTTTAAAGGATTGATTCTTATACTTAAGCTAAACCGTTTTGAGGTTTATTTTCCCACTGTTCTTCCTTCCTTCTCCAGTTTGACTCTTCGGGAGGCATGGCAGTGCCCTGGCCTTACTCGTTTGCAGGCTGATGTGGCAGGATTCAGGCACCTTCCCTTTATTCTGTGGAACAGTCCTTGGAGACCTGGTGCTCCTGAGGGATGGAGCTACAAACACAAACACCAGTCCAGGTCCCTGCCTGTGCTTTCTTCATCCATTGTAATCAAAGAGACCGAGGAAAGAGAGAAAAACCAAATGCCGCTCATATCACTTTCTCCATCTACTTCAGACATCTAGAGAATCAGACTCTATCCTGGATCATTAAAAGACTTTGTTTTTAAATACCGATATTGTTGTTTCAGTTCTGAAATTCAACAATAGAGCATATAGGTAATCCTCAACTTACGGCCACAAATTGAGCCCAATTTTTTTGTTGCTACGTGAATCATTTGTTAAATCAATGTTGCCCCATTTTACGACTTCCCTTGCCACATTTTTTAAGGGAATCGTTGCAGTTGTTAAATTAATAACTCGGTTGTTAAGTGAATCTGGCTTCCCCTTTGACTTAGTTTGTAAGGTCGCAAAAAGGGACCACATGACTTTGGGAGACTGCAGAAATGAGTCAGTTCCCAGGCATCTGAATTTCGATCACATGACAATGGGGATGCTACAATGGTTGTTTAAGTGTGGAAGGTCACAGATCACATTTTCAATGCCATTGTAACTCTGAATGGTCACTAAACAAACTGTTGTAAGTCAAGGATTACCTGCATTTGATACTGGTCTATATCAAATCAGTGAGACTTCATAAAATGCTATTAGCAAAAGAAAAAGTGTTACTAATGCACTAGCTAGGCCAAGGAAGCATTTTCCTTAATTGTTCAGCTCCTTAATTCATCATAACAGAATGCTATGTTTTTATTCTTATTGCATTGAGGATTTTTTGACTTGTCAATTTTAGCCCAATTAAGGAATTACAGGGTCATAAAATGCGAAATTTTAGTGGAGTGGCCATTTCCCCCCCCCCCCTCTTTTTTCCCACTCTGATCTCTTTGATCGGAGTGGGAATGGAGCTGGCCAGATGCCCTTCCTAATGCCTAAGCCGAGATCACAGCAGGTATTTTTCTCTTTGCGTTCTGATAAACATCTGTTGCTACCTAGGACTGAACTCTCAAATTTCCAAGTGGGAGGTGAATGTCTTCACCTGTAGGCTACTGTGCTGCTCAGTGGGATGGCCATATAAATTGATTAAATAAATTTTGCAAAATTTCCAATGAACCAGCCTCAAGCCCATTTCTAGACTGCCACCAATCCGTCTCCTGATCACTCTATCATGAAACTATACTCAAGAATCTTCCAGGTAAATGAAAGGAAAATGAAATGATCAAAGTCCTTGAAATAATAATATTTGTGCTAACCAGTAGGAAACATTAAGAAACTGCCACTATGTGTCACCTACAAATGCCACCTCAAGTAAACATATCGGGGTGGGTGGGATTTTTCCTAAAATACAGCCAAAGTTTGTTTTGTTTTAATGCATTTGCATCAACCTCTGTTGTGGATATTTAACAGCTGACCCCAACCCTATTAGGGTGCTAAACATTAACGGTTAACAACCTGGGCAGAAAGTGCTTTCAATTCTGCAACTTCTGTGACAGAAATTTTAAAAAAGCAAATTGACTTGAAAAAAATCTAAATGCAGGGCATTAGGAAACAGCGGAGGAGGAAAGAAGGCATCAAATCACAGCAAGGTGGAGGGTCAATCCAAAAGCAACAGGAGATCAATGGAGAGAAGGGTGGTTGAGGGTCCGGGATGGAGAAGGCTGGGTAATGTTGGCTACAGGGAACACCAGACAGGAGTACAAAGGCCGTGGGAATACAAGAAGCATGGAAGCCTTTCCACACATTTATTAATGGACAGGAAATGGGAGCAGGGAAGAAAAGGAGATTAGGATCAAGATCCACTCTTTTGTCAGAGAGGCCACGAAAAACTGATTGATATACCTCGATATCTCACCAGCTAACTGCCCTCATGTTTCTAAGCCAGGATGTGGTCTCGTGTGGGAGATGACCAGGCTGAGCCCGAGGGAGGAGTCAAATGCGTCATCAGTCTCTAGTCCCTTCACGCCCAAAACAGATATAAAGCCAGCCCATTTGAATTTGATTGACTCTTATCTACCGCCTACTTGCTTTGACTGTTAATAGCTCAGATTATTGTAGAGAGCTTTAGCGTGCAATAAAACCTATATATTCAATTGAACTGTCTGGACTCCTGATTTCCTGAGCCAGATATTCAGACTAGGTTGCCTGAATCTAGTCATTATAGACGGTTGAAGATGGCTTGGCACCCCATGCAAGTCCAGCCAACTATGGTTTACTCGATAAACTCTGCTCAAAATACCCCAAGGCCAAGCATCACATGACGCCAGTCACCAATCATAACAGCATTCCATTAAGCATTCAATGAATAGAAAGGATATTACCGTAGTAAAAAGAATGATTATTAATCTTACGGGCCTCAAAACTCTCATACAAAATTATTCCTAACCTTTTCAATCCCTAGTTGGACGAAACTGTTATCTCCTTTCTATCAAGCAGCAAATCATATCTTTACTGAAATACAAAAATGCAACCTTGCATTTTTTGGTTGCATCTACCTTGCAACCAAATACAGGTAGTCCATGACTTACAAACAAAATTGAACCCAAAATTGTGAGACATTTGTTAAGGGAATGCAGTCCCATTTTACAACCTTCCTCGCCACAGCAGTTAAGTGAATCACTGCAGCTGTTAGTAGCACTGTTGTTAAATGAATCTAGCTTCGCCATGACTTTGCTTGTCAGATCCCCAAAAGGTGATTGCCAAGGAAGGAGGGGCTGTACTGGTATAGTGGTTAGAATGAAGTAGTGCAGGCTAATTCTGCAGACTGGCAAGCAGTTCGATACTGACCGTCTCAAGGATGACGTATTCCGTCTTTCCGAGGTTGATAAAACAAAGATCCGGATTGTTGGGGGCAAGAGGCTGAGTCTGTAAACTGCTTAGAGAGGACTGTGAAGCAGTATATAAGTCTAAGTGCTAGTGCTATTTGAATTTGGATCACATGACCACGGGGATGCTGCAGTGGTCATTAAGTGTGAAAAACCGCCGTAAGTCACTTTTTTCAGTGCTGTTGTAACTTTGGACAGTCACTAAATGAACTATTGTAAATCATGGACTATCTGTAACTGGCATCAGCTATCTGACTCAAGGATGGAAGTGAATTAGTAGACAACATTACCAGCTGTGCCCCACCCCCCCACCATGACCCTTGGGAGCTCTGAAAATAACCTCCTCTTGGGGAGGAAAGCCAGAAGGGGGGAAAAGTTTGGCTTCCAGCTTCCACGCCCCACCCTAGCCCCACTTCCCACCTTGGAATTCTGTGTTGTCGAGGCCTCTGATGGCCTCGACAGCATCCTCAGCTCTTTCCATGTGCACAAAGGCATAATCTTTCACGATATCACACTCAAGCACGGGGCCGTATTCCTCAAACTTGGACCGCAGCTCCAGGTTCGTGCAGCTGGTGCTGATGTTGCCCACGTGCAGCTTGGTGGAAGCCTTGCTCTTGTTTTTGCTGGCTTCGACGTTGATGCAGACGCCGTGCAGCTTGTAGTGGTGCAGGTTGCGGATGGCGTCCTCGGCGGCCGTCTTGTCTTCAATGTGCACAAACCCATAATTCTTGATGATGTCACACTCCAGGACTCGGCCGTACTGTTCGAAAAGGGAGCGGATTTCCTGCTCGGTGGCTTCCCGGGGAAGGTTGCCGATGAAAAGTTTCACCATGGTGGCTGGAGCTGAGCAGGGGAGCAAAGAAGGAAGGGTCAGTTGGCTCTAAACCACCAAAATCGAACATCAATGGACAATTCACCAGAAGGGGGAAAAATAGCCCAGAGATTCTATTGATCGAAGACAATTAAGTTTTGCTTGGTGAATCTCTTCAGTCTCTTCAAGCACTGATTTTCAGTGATCCTAACTCTGTGGAAGAAGCTGCCACCACTGTTAAAAAAAACCATCTGATTTAGCACAGTATGCAATCAGAATCCTAAATTTTCCACAAATCTCTTATGAGCATGCAGGAGATACCAGGAAAATACATGTAAAATACACAGGTTATTCTCTAAGTGGAGAGTGTGCGTGTATGTATATATGTGTGTATAGTATTTATAAGTGTGTGTGTAATAATACCAGCACAAATTTATACGAGCAGAGGCCAGGATGTGTGCGGTGTGTGCGTGCTTATATGTATGTATCTATATATCCATATCTAATCTATATATAAGTGGACAGAGAGAGATAGCATGTATGTATATGTATAATATATCAGCAGAACCTTGACCCAGCAGAGGCCATATTTGTAGTGTGTGTTTATGTGTACATATATGTATCTGTATATCTAATCTATATAGACAAAGAGAGATAGTATGTATGTATATGTAATATGCCAGAACAACTTTGTATGAGCAGAAGCCATGGTGTTTGGGTGTTTGTATGCGTGTGTGTATAAGTATTTATCTCTATATTTCTACATCCATCCATCGGTATCTATTTACCAGTATCTACCTATCTACTAGCCGTGATGTGTGGGTAATGTGTGGGGTATGCATGTGAGTGTATGTGTGTATATATATATGTATCTATATTGCTATATCTATCTATGGAGAGAGACACAGTATGTATGTGTGTAATATACCAGAACTTTGTTTGAGCAGAGGCCATGGTGTTTGTGTGGGTGTGTGTACGTCTGTATAAGTATTTTTCTCTATATTTCTATATCAATCTTTCTACGTGTATGTACATATATACATAGATATACATATATACACATACACACACACACACATTTAGCGAGTATGCATCTGTGTGTTTGTGTGTAATACACCAGCTGAATTTTGTATGAGCAAAAGCCGTGATGTGTGGTGTGTGTACCTATGAATA